AGCATTTTCAGCCTGGCTTTTTGTACTTTAAATTGGCGATTTGTTCGTTTTTGTTTGATTCTGCTTCGAACTTTTGTCAGGTGCAGACGTTTCCAAAGCGGGTTTGCGAGGTTTTTTTGTTTTGTTTTGTGGTTTTTGCCGAAATTTAATCTCGTGCGTTAACGGAAAATCAACGCTAGTTGGCTGCTAAACACTAAAATCAATTAGGTAAGTTTTTTAATTACACTCTTGTGGGCATACAAGAAATACGACCAAAAAAAAAAAAACAAAGACACAAGAAACTTTGGTATTATCTTGTGCAATTACAACCGAGAGACCGTTGTTGAAACCCAACAATAACAATTATACAATGCAGTGGCAAGTGCTAATGTCAATGTGTAAACCCAAGCCCGAAATGTTTACCCGTGTACATTCGCAATGACTACCTATGTTGTATGCCGCTTAATTAAACATGTTTTTTTGCGTTTTAAGTAAACATAAATGTAAATTGTAGCGATGTTTGCTGGCAGTTGTTGCTAAGGTGCTTAACGCCCACTGCTATTGCCAAAAAAAGAGATCATAAATTACGTTCTTACTCTGTACATGCTCAAAAACATATGCAAAAATGTTTTTGCCAAATTCGTCGCCTTCAAAGTCTTTGTATATTTTTGGCAAGATCAACTTTGACTTAAACAATTCCATTGCTAAACATTTAGATAATGCTAGAAGCTAAGCTTAATTAGAAGTGGAAGAAGATAAAAAGAGAAGACCTTTTTGGTAACATAATTAAGGTATAAACCTAAAATTTTTGTACCGTTTAAATTATTATTTACAAAAGTGGAGGGTAAAGACTGTTGCCAATCAAACTTGAAGCATTTCAAAAAAGGTCTCCCTAACTCGAAAAAGCTTAGTCTTATGGTTTGTTGAAGTTGTTGCGAATTCCTATTGTCATTGTTATTGTCTATCTTTCAAAGTTGGCCCTCTTGCTTCAGTTGCTGTAGTGCGCTGTAATGTGTTTATTAAAAACTATTATTGTTCACATTTGAGCGGCGGCATCTTTATGGCCATGTGGAGCAATTGGACGAAGTTTCTGTTGTAAACTCGTTATGAGCGCGAAAATATGTATGTATGTGAATAAAGGCAAAATATATATATAATATAAATGAATATATATAAAGTTATATATATATATATATATATATATTAAAAAACGTGCCAACGATGAGTGCGCACATTACACAAGGCGCACAAGTGTGTGAAAAAAAGTAGAAAAAATGTTTATAAGTCGTTGAGTAGGTCGATCAGCTGCTTTGAAACCTGTCATGAAGGTCGAAGCCTGTAGGAAAAAATGGGTAAACAACTGAAACCTAACAAAAACTGTTAATGGCAAAAATGTGGTGGAGCTCCAACTAAAACTAGAGCAAAAACCATTAGTTGTCTTAGATACAGATCAACAGGCTATTAAACCAGTTAGTCTTAAGAAAACGCATGATATTTCAATTACCAAAGTTCATCAATTGACATTGAAATCGTGCTCTCAATTCCATTAAATTAACAGACATATAACATTTTTACACTGCTTAGTATCTGAATTTAAGATACTAACTAGCCTATTTTTTTTTATTCCATGTTAATTTCATTAGACTTTGAAGGGCTCGTGGAATGTAGCTTGAGAGATCTACCTACTCGCTATGCTAAATAAATAAATAATGTTGTGTAATACCAAACCCATTTCGTATGGCCGCGAAACAAAAGGTTATGACAATAAAATAGCCAACGCTTTTCGCTTTTCCTCTTTTCAAAATAAATAAAAACACAAAATCAAAATACTACAAACTCGACCTCAACGCCCAGCTAATGCAATTGTCTAACATCGAACTTAAATTTCAATCAAGCAATAATATGCGGAGAGCTCAACAAACATGTTTCCAAGCGGATGACGATTCGAGATTTTTTTCCTTTTTCATTTGCCCCAAACTTTATGTGCATCAGCAACATCATTAGCTGTAACATCTAATAACAGCAGCAGCAGCAGTAACAACAACAACAACAACAACCAGCAATAAACATAAGAGCAAAGCATTTAGTTTTCAAGGTTCGAGCTGGTGTTGTTGCTTTGGCTGCTGCTGTTGGAAATGGGCGCCATGAAAATGCAAATTTTTGCCATGAGCAATGAGTTTCGACGTCTTTCAATGAGCCTAATCATTAATATGTCTACAGCTCAACAAATCAGTGGAATAAACAAAGTGAAAAAGGCATGAAAAGGCAAAAAACCGCTAAGCTAAAAAACAGCTCGATTTAAGACAACTATCCAGCCAAGCAACTGACTCAGTGGCTCACCGACTGACCAACTGACTGAGATTACTCAATAGCAATAACAGCAGCAACAGCAGCAACAACAACAACATTTTGTGCCGCTACCTTTGATTACTGTTGACTTGGACTTGGACAGGCTAACAGTCTAGTCTGGCCAAAAGGTTTGCCTGTCTACATGCGCACTTTCGGTTTTCTGAAAAAAAAAAAACTTGTTCGCTGCCATGCAGCAGCAACAGCAACAACAGCAACACCAACAACACCAAAAGCAACCGATCAAATTGCATTTCGGATTCGGTTTTGGACAGCCTCAGCTTCAGTCTCTGCTGCCGCTGCTGCTGTTGCTGCTGCTGCTGCTGCTGCTCTCAGTGTTTCGCTGTGTGGCCATTATATAATCCAGTTAATTTCTTTAAACATTTTTTCAAGCCACTTTTTGTTGCTTTGCGTCATTCGTTGTTCAGAGCTCGCGCTGCTCAGTTGTGCCGTTACGCGACGCGCCAGTTATCGACTGGATATATAACTAAATAGCTATAGCTATAACTGGACTTTATATACATATATATTTATATTTATACAGAATATATTAAAGAGCAAAGGATACCAAGTCCTGCAGTGTAAGTGTGTGTGTCTCAGTGTGTATCTGTAAAAAATCCGCAATAAACAAAATATTGCAAAAAATTACGAAATATTAAAGCAAAAGAAAATGAAAAAACAGACATAATTGAATAGTAATATTTATGAAATTAGCAAACTGCAGTCGAAGCTTCATATTGATGTCTTCAGTTGCAGTACGATATTAGCCTGGCACCGCAGAGCCACGCAATAGCCAGCAGCTCAACCACAGCAACCACCACAAGCACAGCCACTTGACAAGCCCCAAGCGCCTAATAAACATGTTGAAACCCCTTCCAGTAGAGAGCTGCATCGGTCATCGAGTGGCCCAATGTGGGGAACTGTGATGGAGACAGACCATTGGTAGACGCTGAATGTTTGTGGGTGTCATTGCCCAATGACGACATTTTTCGAAATCCCATTTTCGACTGATGAAAACTCGAAAGAAAATGCAAATTTTTTCGATGTTATTTTTAGCTGGAAATGCATCTTTTGGTCAGATTTAGTTTATGATTGCATAAATCCATAAACAAAAAACCCACGCCAAACATGAGTCAATTAAATGTCACAGTATTTGCATGGGAGCCCACTGATTTGCATATGTATCATGACCAAATGAAGTCAACAAACGAAACGAAACTGACAAACGAAACAAACAAATAGGCAAATATAAACTTTAAAGGCGAATAATTAATTCATTTTTGAACCAAAGGCGAAAAAGGTCAACAGAACAACTAAATTTGAGATACTCCTACAATATGAGAATGGATTTTTTCAATAATGAGAGTATGGGTTAATAATGGATACATGAGTTAAAGATGGGGGCAGATGAGAGTTGAGATAGAGCATAGGAAAGAGACAAGAAGATGGCCGGAAAGAAAAGATGCGAATGAAAAGATTATAATAGCTGAGGTTGGATATTATAATAGAAGAGATAAGATGAAAATAAAAAGGGAGTTAGATAACAGGAAGCATTTATAGTTATAATAGAAGAAAATAGTAACAGAAAAAGAGGAAAAGCAAAAGATGATTATGATAATGAATAAGGGAAATAAGAGGAAACCGAAAATTTAACTTTTATTTGATAAATCTATACTTAAAAAAAAGAAGATATATGTAAGTATATTGCTAAGTTTGTATCCATTAAAGTAATAATAGAAGAAGATCGAATAAGTAAAAGAAAAAGTTAAAGAAATGACTTGCATAAAACTGTATAAGCTGTAAAATTATTAGGTTGTATCATATTATGTATAAACAATGTTTGAAGACAAAATATAAAGCTTTGAATGGAAAAATAAATAAATCTGTACATATGTACAAGAGTATACAAACTGTGGGGGAACAGAAGTGTAGAAAATCAGGTAAATCTACCTCCAGCTGAGACTGTGACTGTTACTGTGATTGTGACTGTGTTTGTCTTGCTTTCCATAGACACATTTTACATACATATGGACAATTATCTGTGTGAATTTGCATGTGCACAAAAAGCTAAAAGCAGGAAAACAACTTATGTAATGGTAAAAACAAATAAAACAAATTAAGCTTAAGTCTGAAGCCAACAAACAGCTGCTGCAAAAAAAACAGTTGAACTCTTTCATATGGCGGGGACAACGACTCGAGTTTAAAATGTTCCACATATATAAAAAATATACACATATAATTTATATATACATATTTACATATATTTAGCTTGACCCGCTTTCAGGCAACAAAAGGTTTTGAACTTGAACCAATTCGCATATATATATTTCTCTTTTTTTTTTTTTTGGTTTTTTTTTTTGCTCATCCGTTGTGCGCTTATAAAATGATTTGAATTTATTGTCCGGCAAGAAAATAATTTACATATGTATGAAAAGCTACTTTAAGCAGTCGCTGAATCAGACTCAGTTTGCGATGGTTTCTATTTCTCTGCAGATGGATAAATATATATGTATATATATATTTTATATATTTGGTTTTTAGGCATAATTAGCAAATATTTATTTGCCAATTGAGCCTTGAGCTAAGACCTTGAACCAATTTTTTGCAGTTGTGAATAGTGTCTTTGATTGTCTTAAGTTAAAACAATGTTTAGAGTTGATTAGCTGATGGAGATCTGTGAGCAAAATAATGAAATTAGGGCTTGTATATTAACATCGTGATAAAACAATTGATCAAGACTTTAGACTTTGGTCAGATTAATTAAACCAATACAATATTTTCCCTTTTTTTATGTTTGGCTAATTTGTAAACTTATAACAATTATATAAATATTCAGCATATTAAAACTAATCCGTTGCCCTTTCTTCTCTCTCTTTCTACAGCTAAATAAGATTGCGTATACGCCGCATAGTACAGCAGAAGCGAGTGTCCAGTCGCCATGAAAGAGACCAAGGCATTGGAGGAGGGCGACGCCTCGTTGCTATCCGAATCATTGCTGAAGATTGCCAAGCGGGAGCTGCGCGAGGACAAGTGCACGCGCGAGCAGAGCCTCGAGCAGCTGCGCAACTGGGTGCTAAAGAACGAGGATCTGCAGAATGTGCGCTGCGATGATACCTTCCTGTTACGCTTTCTGCGCGCCAAAAAGTTCAGTGTGCCGATGGCGGAGCAGACGCTGCTCAAGTATCTGAACATTCGGCGCACCTTTCCACACATGGCCACCAAGCTGGACTTTCTGGAGCCGCGTATGACCCATCTCATCGAACAGGGTTACATATTTGCGGCGCCGAAGCGGGACAAGCACGGCCGACGCGTTGTGATCATCAATGCCAAAGGTTTGAATCCAAAGTTTCACACAAGCTGCGATCAGGCAAAGGCGCATTTTCTGACTTACGAGTGCCTCATGGAGGATCAGGAGACGCAAATCACCGGCCTGAGTCATGTGGGCGACTTTGCGGGCGTGACTACGGCGCATGTGACCAACTGGAATCCCACAGAGTTTGCACGCGTCTTCAAATGGGGCGAACAATCGCTGCCCATGCGCCACAAGGAGATCCATCTGATCAATGTGCCTTCCACGCTGAAATGGCTGATTGACTTTGTGAAGAATCGCGTCAGCTCCAAGATGAAAAACCGCCTGAACATCTATGGCAGCGACAAGGAGCTGATGAAGAGCGTCGATGCCGAGTGCCTGCCCCAAGAGATGGGCGGCTCAATGCCCATGCGTGAGATGATCGAGCTGTGGAAACAGGAGCTGGCTAGCAAACGAGATCTCGTTCTGGCCCTCGATCAGAGCACCTTGCTCTCCGATCGTGGCATCCAGCGCCGCAGCAGCTACAATTCCGAGAAGACCAGCACGGGCACCAATTTCGTCTCACAGATCGAGTCCATCGAGGGCAGTTTTCGGAAACTGGAGTTCGATTAGGCACTGCCGGATACCCGATCCAATGGCCCTTACGCTATTCGATATATATATATATATATAGATAAGATTTAGTTGTAGGCATTATCCTTAATTTGTAATTTGCACACGCAGCGCTTTGCTTTGCTGTTGGCTCATCTTCCCGGCTGGCAGCTACTGTTCCGCTGGACTGGGAGCGGGCACTCGCTTTCGCTTTTCGGTGGCACCCCGCTTTAATAATCCTGCGCTTCTTTTGTATACTATTTTTTGTGTGGAGTACAATAATAAAAGAGAACAAAACGAGAGGAACGACTGGCCAGCGTCATTTACTTCACTTCCAGCTGGCCGGCGTAGAACGGCCAGCGCTGTAGCTGCCGATGCAGTGCGTCTGCATCTCTCGCGCTGCGACTCACATTGCGCAGCGCATACAGCTGATAGCCGGGCTGCAGCTTCAGGCGCCTCTGCGACTCCCAGAGCAGCGCCTGAGCCATCTGCAGCTGGCACATGCTAGGCAGCCACTGGCTGAACTCCCCAACAAAGGCCAGCACCAGGGAGCTCGACTGCGGCAGCTCGGTAAAGCTGCTCACGTACTGCCAGCCCCGCGCCTCGTAGGTCTCGCAGTCGCCAGCCAAGAGGAAATTAAACGGCAGCTCACCGATGTGTGCGCGCTGTAAACGAAAGTTATTCAATAAGTGTCAACAATAAATAAATGACTTGCACCTGTGACTCACCTGCAGACCATGCAGCAGACTCGCACAGTTCTCGCTGCACTCCTCGCTCGCCGTGTGCGTAATGTAAACATTGACAACTTTGTTGGCCTCCAGCTGGGCGATATCATGCAAATATGCGCCACTCCATATATCATGTCTGATCAAATTCAATTTGTAGCCATTATAAGGCACAGCAATTGCTGTAAGTATAAAAATAAATTATATATTAGTATTAAATTTGAATATTTGGATATATATTGCATATATATGTATACAAGCGTAAATATTACATTTCACTTTTATATTACAAAAAAAACACTGGAATAATCAGTATATCGGATTTGGTTGCTCCAACATTCGTTCAAGGCATACAAGTTTTTTTTAAGTGTAAGCGCCCAAATCAATAAACAAATTTGTGTTGATTTGTTAACTAATATGTTATTCAAATGCGAATTAGAATCTTCGCTAGTCAACCGCCTAGCTGATTCAGATTCAACTAAGTATTATATTTATTTGCAGCCACATAGTGAATTATTTTTATATCATTGTTTTTTTTTTTTTTTATTATTAAAAATTAAATTAAGCAACAATTAACAGCGGTTTCCTACAATACAGTAAAGTCTCTCACATCACTTACTTTGTTGCCAGAGCAAATAGGTGGCCATCACCAGTCCGCTGATGAACATCAAGAGCAGTCCGATGGTGCGCCAATTGATGCACTCCTTTGTGTATATCGCTGGAGACAAGAGAACTGTAGCGGAAGTGGACGATGTTTCGGATGTGGAGGATCTTCCACTGGGCAGCAGGGGTGTTCGCTCGGTGGGTTCCATGTAAACTTCGATATGCTGATAATTGTCACATGAGCCTGTGTATTTTGGTGATGTGCAGCTCGGATGTAGGCCACCGCCAACGGTCGCATGCACTATGATTATGCGAAATGTTAAACAAACAACAAATAATTACGATAAAAACAACAACGCGAAACGATAAGCAATGTGACACTATTTGTTCGCTTAAGCTGCGCATTTAGTTGCTGAAGAGCTGACTCAGGCTGCGTGTCCGGGAGTAACCCACAATAGCATTTTGTACATAAGAGACAGCTTTCCAGAGAGTCTCTTCAGTTGTGGTCATCACCTACCCACATTCTGATTGACTTCCATTGGACTTCCAGTAGTCCAGCGCAATGGCAGCCCTTGCTCGTTCCGTTCTCACTGGAATTTGCTGGATGATCGTTTTTAATCGGGATTGCACAAAGAAGAAACTGCGACGGCATCGACAAGCTGACTGAGCCACAGACTGAACAGACGCAGCCCGCATGACGTTTCATTACAGCTGTTCTGCAGCACACACACACATACATACATGCAGAAGTGTCCATGTACACTCGCCCTCGGTATGCATGCATACAAATATATATGTGTGTGTGAGTATAGACATAAACGGACCCTGTATTTATGTACATACATATGTAGTAGTTAGATTACACACGCTTGCGACAATTGCTTCCATTATGAACAGTAAATATATGTATGTATGCAAATATATGCGTATATATACATATTTGCAATCGATTTAAATAACACGTTCCGCATTGAGTTTATTTAGTTTCTTGCACTGCTTTTAATTTTTGTTTTCTATACTAATAACAATCACTATTATTATTTATACATACACACAAAGTAATTTTGCTTAATTATTTGTACAGTGCTTCACTTGAACAATCATTTAACTTAAGACTTTTTAGGGCATTAAATACTAGAACATAAATATATGTCATTCATTTATAATGCAATCGCGAATGAATAGCTGCCAAAAATATGCACAACTATAGAGAAACATTCATGTTGACATTTCGGACTCTGAACCACTTTAAAAATTTAACTAGGAAAAACGAAAAATATCGAAATTCTAAAAGAAATGCATACGCCACAGCGTTCAACTAACTTATAAAACCAAATACTTGGGGCCAAGTTCAAGATTACGCGCCGCTTCGTTGCCGCCTGCATTGGCAATGGCTGACTTATCCCAATCAGAGTGCTTATCGTTTACTTATATGACCGCCATATCTGCCAAGCACACAAAGCCGCCGATAAGAAGGTAATGCCACGATGCAAGTATTTGGATTGAGTATTAGGCGCATAGCCCAGGATCACAGGCGAGGATACATCTGTTAACGGCAGTTTGTTTAATGCGACTTCGTTGTTCTCCTCCACCTAACAGAATACATACATACATATTAATATTCATTTGATTAACTAAAATCAAGTTCACATTACCTGATATTGGCAGCAAGGATCATAGTTCCAGGAAACTGTATACAATCCGGTACAGAAGAGCGACATTGCACAAATGGGAGCCGCAATCACTGGACGGTCGTACCACAACAAGCTAGATATTAAGGAAACAACGCCAGTTGCCACTGCAGTCTTATGGAGGCAATTGCCTACCCATATCCAGCGACCTAAGTATACCAAAACGTTAATAAATCGACACAGTATTAAGTAAACATATTTTTAATTTACCCGTCTCATCTCCTAATCGCGGCGGCTCGATGATGATAAAGTCTACTTTGGCCTCAAGCGCCTTTTCCAGCTCTGCTTCAAAGCGTTCGTGTGCATTTGAACTGTCGTAGACTTCTCGAATGACATGAAATGTTGGCTGCTTGCCTGTACTGTAATAACAAGTTGATATATTTAAAATATATTTCATTTTATACACTCACTTAATAACACAAAAATTTAAATTCAAATTTTTGAAATCGAAACGGAATTCGATTGTGTTCAATTGGTATTTATTTTGCGCGTGAATGCGGTCACACTTATATGCAAATGTGCATACATATGTGTGCAATACAATTACATACTTATACACAATATGAAACCGCATCGCAAATTGCATAACTTAGTGAAGACTGCACCATATTTTGAAAGTGGCTCCTTGCTGTTTTTACCTGTTTCTGTAAATGTCGCGCATATTTACCTATCAATGCTCTTGCCAAGCATTTTGCTGCATTTGTTTTGAAGACTATAACTGCGCGTTGTTTTTATGGACTAAGCGATACGATAATATATACCATCGGCAAAATCGAGGCACATATATAACATATCGACGCCCCGCCGCTAAATATCGACATAATAATCGAAACTATATGGCAACGCTGAAGTGGATATAATTTCCTGATAATTGTTTGCTTGGTAAATAAATTATTTATACAATTATTAAAGCAATAAAATTTTTACTTTCTTTTAATTTCCAGTCCCCAACACAAAATGGTAATGATCTACATTGCACTTCTTTGTGAAATAAACAATTTGACACGTATAAACTAAGTTGAAGCTCCTCGTGCGAACGAACTAGTTCATAAGTTCAGTTCCCGATTGCTCAACTTCAATATAAGAAAAACAATTCAATAAAACAGAGAAACAACATGGACAAGCAACGATTACCGATGCCGGAGATAATAAATGATGATAAGCACCGGCATAAACAGGTGAGAAGGACTCCAGCTACAACATGCAACCAAAGTTGCATTCAGTTTTTGTCACGCCCTTCAATATCTGCAACTAAAAATTTCTTTGTTTGTGTCAGTTCAATGGGCATTTTGACAGCAACCGATTTCGACCGCCCAAAGTGAAAACGCGCTATATTGCAGTCGAGAATAACAATTTGAATCGCAGTCAGTCGTCCGGATCCTGCAGTGCAAACAACTCACAAATAGCGCACGCGATTTCGTTTCGTGGCGGCTCAGAGTGCTCGGATGCCGGTATATTACCAACGTCGCCAAGTGCTGCTGCGGCTGCCTCGTCCATGTCTACGACGTCCTGCAATATGAGCCACTTCGAGCAGTGTTTCGAACGACTGACAAAGCTGGGCGAAGGCTCCTTTGGTGAGGTGTTCCAGGTGCGAGATCGTTCTGACAGCCGGCTGTATGCGGTCAAAATCTCCAAGCAATTGTTCCGTGGCGAACAATATCGAGCTGAGCGACTGGAGGAAGTACGGCGGTACGAGGAGTTCTCTGGCCATGAAAACTGCATTCGTTTCATACGTGCCTGGGAGCAGTACGATCGGCTATTCATGCAAATGGAGTTGTGCCGCGAGAGCTTGGAACAGTATTTATATCGCTGTCGACATATTCCAGAGGATCGCATCTGGCATATATTACTCGACTTGCTACGTGGCTTGAAGTCGCTACATGATCGTAATCTCATACACTTGGACATTAAACTGGAAAATGTGCTGATCGATGATGACGACACATGCAAGTTGGCGGACTTTGGGCTGGTCATCGATGTGGACAAGGCGAACAACCATCAGGCAACAGAAGGTGATTCACGTTACATGGCACCTGAAATACTGCAGGGTCACTTCTCCAAGGCTGCAGACATTTTTAGTCTGGGCATCGCTATGCTGGAGCTGTCATGCTACATGGACTTGCCATCCAATGGGCCGTTGTGGCATGAGCTGCGCCAGGGGAAGCTGCCTGAAGAGTTCATCAGCAGTGAGTACTTTAATTCAAACCATATTGAAATATAAATAATAACTATTTCTTTGCGTTTGCAGAAATCTCAGTAGAACTGCAGCAGGTTATTAAATGCATGATGTCGCCAGATCCACGACAACGAGCAACGACGGAACAGCTATTAGCGCATCCTCGCCTTGTGCGAATGCAAAAACAGGAGAAGTCCATGGTCACATTAAAGCTGTTGGTAAGTGTATATTCTAATTTACAATATTCATTTATATGATTATTATCTATTATGTTTTCCAGTCGAAATGTTTTCGCCGTTCGCGCCGTGCATTTTGGTTAAAAATGTGCAATCTAAAGACGGCGGCGTATCGTTGTTTATTCTACTTATTGGAAATCTTGCATCTGTATAAGCCCATTACATCTTCACAGACTCCGATGTATAATGGCAATACAGCAACCGCTGCGCCCTCATCACCATCCACATCAGTGGCCGGTGTGCCGCGCTTAGAGTTTCAGCTCGTGGGATCAACGCCCATTGGTAATCGTGATTGTTATATCTCCGATTTTCTATTAGCCATGGATATGGATTTATCACAGCACGGCACACCGACAGCCTGTGAACGAGAGAACCTGGTGAATTCGACGCCTATAAATCATAATCATTTAACGGCCAACCGTCAAAGAAGGCAAGTAGCTGTCTCATAATCTGTTTCACTCTCATATTCACTTATATACTCTTATATTATAGCTCTTCCGCACGTAAGACTCGCCCAGAGAAGAGCAACTTATTATCTGTAGATGAAAACTGCTCATTTGTCTCTTCCCCATCAAAAGTATTGGAAACGTCTTCGTTTAGGGGCAAAAAACTATTTACATTAGATGTTGATGAGGAGTAATTGGTCCTCAAGATTGCAACGGAATGAATTTATGGTTACAAAGCATATATATACAGTATATCAGCTACAAAAAATGCAACCCATACATATGTCAAAAAATATATCGTTATATATATTTAGAGTTTAGTTCGTAGTCTCATAAATATCCCTAGTTATTAGGCCCAACGATTGTATAATGTTAACGCTTCTTTAGAAGAACTTGTTAAAACTAAACTTTGTTTTTATAAAGTAATCCGAATTGTAAAAGATAATACATATAAGCATGTGATATATATACGAAGTGCGATTTGTAAAAGCCGCAAAATTATAAAGAAAACTTATCATAAAAATTATCAATTTAATTGCAATAAATATTTCACTGAAACGAACGAGTATGTTCGTATCTTAAATATAGACAATAAATATTAAAATGTTTTAAATTTGACATTTAAAAATAATAACAGCAAATTAACAGAAATATATGTTTAGCCGCCAGCAATTTATGATCAACTCGTATGTGCGTTAACATTACGTTTACAGGCGCAAAAAGCAACGCTAACAGGAGTCTAAAATTGCGTTTGTGAACACCACATGTGGCTAGTTTGTCTCCAAACGTAAACAACGAGGTTTTTGGAAAACTAAATCAAATTGAGATGGCGGCTCGTAAAAAGAAGAAAGTTGAGATTGTATTCGATCCACAAAAACGCAAGTGAGTAGCAGTCTAATATTTAAGTCAAAGCAATGTTATTAACTTGGGTCACACAAAACAGAGAATTTTTAACTGGCTTCCGAAAGCGCAAAAATGAACGCCGCACTCGGGCAAAGGCAGAGTTGGATCGCAATCTTAAAGAGGAGCACAAACGTATACGGAAAGAGGTGAAAGATAGTTTTAAACATCTCAAGAAGTCGTTTGAACCGCTGCGGGAACTTACTGAGGAGGATAAGATTGACGACTCAGAGCAAACTGAAGCGTATGAAGATGACGAGGTGCAAGTTAAAATTGTGGAGCTTACCACGAATGATTTAGCTGCTCAACGCAACATGCTGGGTGCCAACACAGCTGAGGAGAGCGAAGAAGAGGAAGCACCGCAGAACAGCGAAGACGATGACGAGCAGCAGACCAATGTCATACCTGGGATGGACTTCGATATGAATGCCAAACGCAATCGTAAATCGGTAACCACAGCTGGAGAAGCAGACAGCAAGGCTATGGAGGCAGATATCAAAAGCAAAAAGGACCTAGACAGACTGATGAAAACGAAAACGCTGAAGAAAATTAAGAAAAGCAAACTGTTCAAGCAGAAAGAGCGCATGGACAAGAAAACCAATCTACAGAAAACGAAACGTGACCGCAATAACACCATCCGAAGCGTGCCCAAGCACTTGAGAAAGAAACTGAAGCATGGCAAAGCGACAGCCGGCGGACAGACGCGCTACCGCAAAGGTCGCCTAATGAACAAGAAGGAACTACGACGCAAACGAAGCGGAGGCGGCGGCGATTAGCCATTTAGCGTTAGCCAAAAGGTTGAACGATGTAATTTACATAGTAGATAATACATAATAATGTTTAGTTATTTCTTTTTTGTTTTACGGTTTATTTACTATTACACTATTTTGATCGAAATAAACTGTATAATATAATTTTGCTAATTCGCCGACGCCGGCCGTTTTCTTTGTTCAAATGCCTTATTATTTATTCGTAAATGTGTGTTTCTTTTTGCTTGTATAATATAAATCCAACGTTTTTATTTTTATAATTTGGGTTATATTTTAACACTAGCAATCGGTTATTGCCGCTAATGCTATAAATAAAAGTGGCGTTCAATTGAAATATCCGTTCAGTACGCCAACTAACTTATACCGATGTTATAATCTACTCTCATTGTTTAATATATAATATGTACAGAATTTGTTTCTTGTTAGTTACTTAAAAATATTGTTATTTTATTTTGTGTATTTCTTATAAGGTTTGCATCAATGTTTGTTACGTGTATCTTATTTTCTTTTCTCCTTTAAACAGTTTTGTTTTGGTTTTAGGCATAAATGTATTTGTTTTTATTTCTCTCTCTATCCGTTAATGATTTCTGTGTTTTATAGTTATAATCATTTTTTTGTGGGGTTGCAACACTTTTTGAAAATGTTTACAGCCCCTGCGACATTAGGTTTAAATTATGTGTATTCCAAAACTCTCATTTAAAAATAAACATAATAAATAAAATGCCAAACACGTTTACAAATTAAACCTGTTAGAGGTTGCTCTAGCTTATAGCTTACATGTCCTAGTCCTAATGTATGCATCAGCAGTTAAAAAATGTTTACAAAACTCGTGTAAAATCCAAGCGAACCCGTTTGCCAGCTGCTGGACAGCGTCCCCCACAGCGGCAAAAAACACAACTAATGCAGCGAAGCATTCATCAACGTCCAGTTACGATTGTTGCTGCTGCTGCTGTTGCTGATGGCCTGTCGATTGATGTTGACGGCGCGTGAAGCCGCCGCCAGCCGCCAGATGGCGCTGCAAGGCACGCTGCTGTTGAAATTTGGCGCCACCGCCGCCAAATCGATTATATTTGAATTTATTGCGCTGCTGAAAATTCTGTCGATAATTCTGATAGAAGCGGGGAAAAGAGCCAGACTTGTTGCCGTTCCAGCGCTTCTGACTCTCGAACTCCTGGAATGGATTGTAGCCGGGTATACCGTTATTTGATTTGACCGACGCCGATTTGACCTTGCGCTGACGTCCACGATCCATTTCATTCTCTTCATCATCTTCTGCATCACGCTTCCGCTGCTCGCGCGCTTCAGCCAGCAACTAAGGAGAAAAATATGTTCAGTTTAATATATTTCGGTTATCTCAACATAAATCTGCTTGACTCTAGGAAGGGTCTTTGGTAATGAAGCTTATGTAGATGAGTTAACGAGCACAATTTTCATGCGATCTATAAATGTAAGAGGCTAAAGGCGCACTGTCAAGCTATCGATTAATAGAAATCGATATTGATAAATGCGCATGTTTTTTATTATGTTATAAAATTGAATATTCAAATTCGAAGTGAATATGGCACTGAATGCTCTTAATCCTATCAATAATTCAATGAATATTTTATCAGTTACATTTATCTATCAGTTCATTTGGCAAAACGGAAACGGGCACGGTTGAATTTATGATAACAACTGGAATCAAACTGGCAGTCAAATCATAAGCTTCATTTATTAGATGGAGGATAATAAGGTGGATAACTACAACAGCAGCTTTACCTATTGGGCGCTAGGATTTCGACGAGTTCTTGAAACAGGTTTTTGGGTGGGGAGTATTAAGCGCATTGAAGTATCCACACGCAGCATGGAGACTTCAACACAATCACAGTTCGAGGCAAATTGGGGAAAATTGAGATATACAAGCACTTCTTGCAACAACGGCTAACACAATTTATCGGTTGGAGCCGTCAAGCTCTTGATGTTGCTGTTGCTGTCAATGTTCTTGCTATTGTTAATATTACTGTCACTGCTGACGCCGACAGACCCATCCATATCGCCGTAACCAGCTATCCGTTTCGCACAAACCAAATCAAAACTCTATATGAATGTGGGGTAAAATGGTGGAAACAAATGCAAAAATTACAAAACAATTTTCGAAACAACAAAAAAAAGTCATCATGCAATGAATATTTACAAATACAAAAAGAAAACTAAAAACAAAACCAAAAACAATCACCACATATAGATACAAACTGAAAAACATAGTACAGAGCTCAAAATCTTTCATAAAAATGCGTTGTTTTTAATGCGCCTCGGTGTATTTATCAATAGGGAAGCCCACTTTTTAACTGCCTCGATTAACTTAGCAAAAACGACGCATCTTTAATCAACTAAAGCCAAACTACAAGCTACAATGTAATGCATTTAATAAGCGGGAGTTCTGGCTCTTACCTGCTTGTCCAAATCGGACGTTTTGCCGGTCCAGCTGAGCACCGAAGTGCCATAGCCACGATGGGTCTGCTTTAACAGTTCGCTGACTGCATTGCCATTGGCCGTAGCCTCACTTTGATAGCCATTGCCGACGCGAGGCGTCTGCGCCGACTTGGCGCTACCATTTAGCAGTTTCTGGCGCTTGGCCCCAGGCATGGCATCTGCTGAAGACGGTTTGCTGGCAAATGGATTGTTGAGATTTTTAGTCGTGATACTCGGTGTGGTCTCCACGACAACGACTTCATCATCGTATTCTTCCTGTTCAGCATCAGCGTCTGCGTCATCCTCCTCATCCGCATCCTCATCATCATCATCGTTATCATCATCCGTGCGGGTTATCTGCCAAATGCCAGTCTTGGATTTAATCACCGCTGGCGAGGGCGGCGTCTTTGGCGATGCCGGCGCCTTGCCATTTTGTGACTGCCAGCCATTTTTGCTGATCAAGCTGGAGCTGGAGTTGCTTGGTTTTTTTGTGACCTGCTGCTGCTGCTGCTCATCCTCGTCTGCATCAGCAGTCGTAGTTCCTGCTGCTGTGGCTCTGTGTTTATTTTTATAGTTGTTTAGACTTTTGAATATCTCGTCTATGGCATCAGTCTTTTGTTTGTTGCTGTTAACATTGGCCGACGAGGCATTTGAGGCGGACTTGTTGGATTTGATGCTGGTGCTGGTGCTGGACTCATTCCCACTGCCATTGCTCTTGGCATGACCATTACGCATTATGGATGGTGGCTCATCCTCCGATTCACTTGAATCGGCGCCACTGCGTCGCTTGCGGGGATTAGCTGGCTGTAGCTGTGGTGACACTAGTAGCTGCTGTTGTTGTTGCTGCTGTTCCTGCTCCTCCTCGGAGGCAGACTCATACGGCACCAGGCTCTTGAGTGGCGTCTTTGGCTTCAACTTGGCAGTTTGTGCAACACTCTCGGCATCCTCAAACATTTTCGGCATGCTCGGCAGCTGAGGCGCTGTGTTGGCTTTCACATCAACATCATCGTCACTGTCCTCATCCTCATCCTCCTCATCGGATGATATTGGCAGAATATGTTGTTGCTGGTGTTGGCTATTGGTTGTTAAAGTGTTGTTGTTGCAGGAACTTTTGTTAGAATTTGCATTTGAAATTGCATTTGCACTTGCATTTGCAGCAGTTTCTCCCTTATGCAATGACCCAACCAGTGAATGCTTCGATTGCGCAGACTCCTGAAATTTATTGGCCCCCATTAGGAGGCCATTATGCTGCTGCTGTTGTGGCTGCTTCTGTGGCGATGACTTGAACTGAATTGAAGTCTTTGCAGCACCAAGTACATGGCCATTGTTGTTGGCATAGCCATTAGGCAACTGTGGACCAATGAAGCGCGGGGACACGGCAGAGGCAGATGTTGAGGTGGCCGTAGCTGCCACAGCTGTAGTAGCTACCGACGGGCTGTGCTGTCCATTGAGACGAAGTCCGTTCAGCTTGGGCACAGATGTACTGCAGCTGCTGCTGCTGTTGATGCTGCTGCTGGCCACGTCCAGCTCGTAGAACATGATGTACGCATTCGTATTGCAGACACTTTGCATCGCAATGGGCCGTACATAGCTGTCATCAAAGTTGTAATAGCTGCCCGACTCCGTTAGCCCAATGGCCGTATAATGGCCACAGTGCTGAGAAACGCCCAAATGGGTGACCATCGATACCAGGCGATAGCTCAAGGGCTGGGTTGACGCCGCCGGGCTGCGTGCCGCGAACCGGCTGAGGTCTATGCGTGGCTTGAAGCTAATCTGTTTGGTCAGCTTATTACCCATCATCGAGAAGCGCTTCAACTGGATGCAGAGCGTAATTGGAGCACGTTCCAAGCTGAATTGTTTAGTAGCAGAGACCTTGAGAAGAAAATAGGTAAATATGAATTTTAAATCAAAATACTCTTATGGAGAACTAGACACTCACCTTTTTCTTGCAGCCCTCGCACTTGTAGCCCATGTCCTCGAGGCGCTCACGTGAAAAATAGCCATCAAACGCCTCCTCCAGGGTGTCCGCCTTGCGTATGTCCAGCAACAGATCTTGGAAATGTTGAAACGTAATCGAGACATGATTGCAGCTAAGGCAGCGAACCTCGCTACGCAAATAGCCACCAAAGATTTGACTCAGCGGCGTCGTCTCCTTCACCAGCTGATCAAGTTCTTTGTAGTTGCGAAAGCGCATCAGATACGCCTTCTCCATAGCCTCGACCAGAAAGCGCAAGAACTCATGGGCATCCTCTTGGCGGCCAACGACCATGTGTTTGCATATTTGGCGCAGCTTTGTGTATATGAGAAATGGTCGGACCGCCGTCTGATTCGACTGTGTTGTCTGCAACGTTTTGGCCATTGCACAGATGATGCAGCCACCGCTACCACATGACTCGCTTATGTTGCAGTTCTCCACGTGCGCCGTCTCCGAGACAAGCCAGTTGGCTAGTGCTGGTATGTGGAAAAGAGCCTGTAGCGTCGAATTGAGGTAACACGTATTGCCCACATTCAGCATTCCGGCTCCCACTTGCCACTTCCTATCCGACTGCTTCCACCCGATGCGAATGTTCTCGCGCGGGTACAGCACCCGCTTGGGCTTGGGCAATTCATTGGGATTCGTAGTGGAATTCTGATTGGACTGCTCCACTGTCTGTTTGCGATTGCCATTCACAGTCGCAGCACTGCTGCCGTTCACACCGTTCGTATTGTCTGTGAATGAAACAGCAAATTTGTGCCTGGGCATTAGCACATGTCGAAAGAGTCGCACCAGCAGCAGCAGACAAGGCAACAAAATCAATTTATAAAGCAGCCACAGTGCGTAGCTGCTATCCGCAATTAACACAGTCATTATAATACATTGGACGTATCCCAGTTGTGGCACACGAAAAATTAGCTTTAATACTAAAATTAAAACGAATATGACGGACACAAATACTGCCAGAGGCAGCGAGCGCTACATACACACACATAAATAGACATATACGTATGTATATAGAGAGTTATGCACATATATAAATGGTCACCTGTGCATTTGTGTTTGTGTTGTGTTGATAACAGCGAGCGTTTACTTGACGTACTCGTTAGCTTTACAAAGAGAAATGAGAAAAAAAAGAGTGACCACTATACACAGCGTCGAAATGTATTGTCGTCCCGTTTTAGCGCATGCAAATTGCAAGTTCCACGATTACGTTGAGTGTTGCCAACTGAAATTCGGACAGCTCGTTGTGCAAATGGTACAACTTTGGCGCGGTCTAACAATGCCTGTTGTTGTAGGTGTTCTGCTTCTGCTGCTGACAAAACATGGCCAGGCAGAAGTCTTTGACCATTTCTCTGCAATATCTTGCGCCTTTGTTTTACTTCCTGCTATGCTCAAATGATTCGCAACGCGCGTACGTGTGCCTGTGTGTGTATGCGTGTGTCTGCGTGCGTGCATGACTCACAAACACAGATAAATACTCGAAAGTGTATGCACAAATACATACATACATATGTTTGTATATATGCTCATTCAAAACAATCAGCGATGTGAAGAAACATTTGCTGAGAATCCAGTGAATAAATGAAGGAAAACCTCCCATTGCAACACAACACAATGAGTGCGAGAGATAGCGCACAAGCGGTGTATTCGTGTGAGTGCGAGCGGGCGCAAATGAGCGACCGCGTGTAAAAATGTTTGCCGCGACGGCTGCACGTTTTTTTTTCTGCTTCTGCTATGTGATTCAGAAGTAGACAGTAGTAAAAATTTGTAGTGGCTCGCTGCTGCAATCGCTGTCGCTGTTGACGTCGCAGCCTGTCCAACTTACTCTTTGCGATCGTATACTTGTTTTGCTAGCTGTGTCTCTATTCTTTGCATTCTGTTTATATACGGCCACCACGTACACCAGCTCAGTTTTTTCACAAACATACAGGGGCACAGTCGGTGCCGCTGAGACGTTGGTGGCGAAGTCGTCGCCTTAGAAGCTTATAAATGTTGCAGGCAGACAATTATGTTGAGTCGTTCACACGTGATTTTGCGCTCAATATGGCAAAATAAACATAACGCACACACATACACACATACTTTATATAACAAACAGAAAAACAAAAGAAACAAAACACTTACCATGCCCGTTCGAGCTAAGTGCTTTGCCAGTGCTAGCACCGTTAGTTTTGTAGCTGCAGTTGGCAGCTCCACTGTTATCCGGCTTTATGACGATGTATTTTGATTTGAGTTTGGCCAGCACAGATTCATGGTAGTTCTCCACCTCCTCGTATTCGATTTTGGCCAGCAATACGCGTTTGGCGTTTGCCACAATTTGACTCTGCAGATTATCCGTGGCCGAAGGATCGCCAATTTTGGCCTCATCAGCAGAAGCAGCCGCAGCGGCGGTGGAACTCGAACCAGAGCCGGATCGACCGCTAGCCGCGGCCGCTGCTACGCAACCACTGCCGCCGCCGCCACCCAGCGATTCCCGCAGCGCGGCGTTCACGACATTTGCTGTTTCGCACACAGCCAACGAGACGGGCATGGCGCTCGCACTGGTAGGCGTTTGTGGTGGAATTTTGAAGGATTTTGCGCTGCGTTCCCCCGAAACTCTGATACTGATAATGGACGTCGAGTTAAGTTTTGGGCGGGGTTGTATGGGTGGCGTTGGGAATAGGCGATAGCGCGTTAAATTAAATCGCTTGCAGCGGGATTATGGGGGGGAGTGCCGAAAAGGAAATGAAAGCATTCGATTCGCTTTGATTTGGTTGTTGTTGCTGTTGTTGGTTATGTGGCGTAGGCGGCGGGCGTGTTGCGCGGACTCGGACCCAGACACGCACCAACACACACACACACGCACACAGCACACACGCGCGCTTTGCTTCACAGCTAGCTGTTGTGCATTTGCGCAATCTTCAAGATCCTCCGCCCGGTCGACAACTGCACACGTTTTTATTATGGCTATCGTTGCTGCTGCCGCTGCCAGCGTCCGTTCAGCGACCGCTCGTCGTCCTTCAATAACGCTGAACGTTCGTTGCCCGCGCGACTACTATGTATGTCTTTATGTTCTTTTTCTTATATTTTTTCGTCTTCAGTTTTCGTTTTACTGCTTTCGGCCAACACACCAACCAGCCAAACCGACGCACGCACACTAATACAATTACACACGCTTTTTTCGCTTTATACTATTGCTATCCGAAATCTTCATGAAAGCCAGTTAGGAAACACGAAACACGTCGTAATTTATTTGCAAACTGCACATTACGATATTATCAATTGTATTTGCACATTCCGCGAACGAAAAGTTGATTTTAGAAAAATAATGACAATTCCTTCCCTCGTGTTTCTTCCGACTGTCGATTCTCTTTCGCATCTCTGTTCGCTCAAGTAGACTGCCCACTTATTAAAATTAGATGGCAGCTCCAAGTGAACTTAGCTGCGCACAATCCGGCCTTTACATGAAGTTGGCTGCACGCGAATTGCCCTCATATTAAGTTGGCAGCTCAGTAACTTTGGTAACACTTTGGTATTTTCGGTTTTATTGATCGTGGTCACTCTGCATGACAAGTGCAGCAGATGTAAACGCATAAACATTTGCGCTCTTTACTAGTGAAAACAAAATAAATAAATTAAAGACGTGTAACACAAAAGACAGTGCACCAAAATGGCTTCGTTCTTCAATGTTGGCGCTCTGGGCAATGTTTTCTCAACACCTATCGGACAGCGTATCGGTGAGTAAATGACAAAATAGCGGTCGCATAATGTGTGTAATGTGTGTGGGTGTGAATATGAGTGGGTGTAATATATATGTATGCATTTATTAAATTGTATCACTTTTCAAGCAAGTAATATGTTGTGTGTGGTTGTGTTTATTTGCGCATTTACATTGTAGCTGCAATGGATAACATTCAAGCAGCGCATGAAAATCTGTTCATGGAAAATTGAATTTTCCCAACTTTCTTTTGGTCGTTTTCTTATTGTCACTCACACATACGCACACCAACCGCTTACCGCAAAGTTAGATTTGTTGTTGCCATCTGAATATTATGGCAAAAAGTAAACTCGTTATCATGTCAGTACGACGGCAAGTCCCCTTCCCCTAATTAGCCAATTGTCTGATAAGATTGCAGCTACACATACCGCACATATTTAATATGTGTATGTGGGTGTGTGAGTTGAGTATGTATGAGTGACAAGTAGTGATGAAAAGCGGCCTATTCCCTAATGACACATAGGAACACATATGTATGTATGTACGTAAACAACGAATCATTTTCATGTTAATGTATTTTTGTTAGTCATCGAATACACGAAACCTAAAACAAATAGAAATAAAATATGTACATTTAATAATAATTCGACACACGCACCTTTCCGCCCAACTCCTTGACCAGCTCAAAGTGCGCTGCACGCAATTAGTCATCGAGACTTACGGCTGCCTCTAGTTGGGTTGCTCGTTACATAAAAGTGTTAATTTATTCATTTTTACTTTCTGCTCATTTTCGTAGTCACTTACTGGTATATATACCTGTATGTGTGCATGCTTTTGTGTATTAGCGCTAATTTTCACTGGTTTACTAATTCACTAATTTATTGCTTCACCTCTTCTTTCGTTCCACTTTGCTTTTCCTATCTCTTCTCTTCTTTTGTTTTGTTTTGTTTTGTTTGTTGTTGCCTATTGCGTTTCTTTTAGGGTAGGCAGTGCGTTGCACTCAACAACAATATTCGAAAGTACTCTCCCTCTCTGGCTCTCTATCACACTCTCTTTCTTTTGCTCATTCTATCGTATATAATATGATCGGGTTACACGAAGCAAATGTCTTGTTGCGTTAACATGATTTGAATTTTAATGCGATGTAACTTCTGATCAAATTATAATTACATATATTTATGAATATACTATTGTGGTTTTTATAGTAATAAAAAGATCTTATTGGTTGCAAAATTTATTTCTGCCACATGATTTTTTTATTGTTGATTTTTATCGCGTAAACAAAATGCGATGACTCGACATAAAAATAAACAAAACAAAAATGCTCTTGATTGCTTAAAATACAAATCAAATATTTAAACAAATTGTTTTAATGCTAACATCGCCAAAAATGAATTAATATATTTATATCATGTATATTCATTTGCAGAAGCTGCCACTGACGCGAGCTTAGCTTCTGAGAATTGGGCAGCGAACATGGAAATCTGCGACATGATCAACGAATCCTCCGACACGGCACGTGACGCCATGCGTGCTATTCGCAAACGCCTCTCACAGAATGCTGGCAAAAATAATCAGGTGATCATGTATACGCTCACTGTGCTGGAGACGTGTGTAAAGAACTGTGGCAAGGCGTTCCATGTTCTGGTTGCCCAAAAGGACTTCATCAATGAGCTGGTCAAACTGATTGGACCCAAAAATGATCCGCCAGCCATAATGCAGGAGAAGGTTCTCAGTCTGATACAGATCTGGGCAGATGCATTCAAAAATCAGCCCGATCTTAATGGTGTTACCCAAATGTACATGGAACTGAAAAACAAGGGCATCGAATTTCCGCCCACCGATCTGGATGCTATGGCGCCCATATATACGCCACAAAGAGTGAGCGCATGGACTATTAACTATTAACAATATTCGTAAAATATTTATATTTTGTTTTCAGAGCGTTCCAGAAGTGCATCCCTTGCCGCATCCACAGCTAATGAGCGCCCAACATACCATTTCGCCTCAGCATGCGGCAGCTGCTGCGCCAGCCACTGGACCCCTGCATTTAACGCCCGAACAGGGCGCAAAACTGCGCTCGGAACTGGAAATTGTTAGCAACAATATGAGCATATTGGCTGAAATGCTGAGCGTGCTGAAGCCGGGCCAGGAGCTGCCCGATGACTATGCCCTGCTAAATGAGTTGACTGCCACCTGCAAAGAGATGCAGTCACGCATCGTCGATCTTATTGGACGCGTACAGGACGATGAGTTGACAGCGGAATTTCTGCGCATAAACGATGAGCTAAACAATTTGTTCTTGCGTCACCAGCGCTACGAGAAGAGTCGCGCGCAGAGTACTGCGGGAGCGGCAGCTGTAACGTCTCCATCTGCTGTGCTAGGCGCTGCGATGGGTGTGCCGGTAGCAGGTGTGGCAGCAGCGACAGCTGGAGCAGCTGCAACTGCTGTACCAGCCACAGCCGGAGCTGTCAGCAATACGCCACAAAGTGATCAGCTGCTAATCGACTTGATTGAGAGCAGTGAGGATAATTTGCCTCAAGCCTTTGGACAGATGCAATTGGGCGCAGGTGGCGGAGCAGCAGCTGCGCCAGTTGTTGGCGCAACAGGCGCTGCGGATGAGTTTGACATGCTGGCGCAGTCACGCACCGATGGCAACCAGTGAGAAAAATATTGTTTCTATTGGTCTTATACATAAATTGCTAAATTCATTTCTTTGCGATTCCAGCAAAAGTGATTTGCTGCGCGATATACCTATTGTGGATGCAGCAGCTGGCAGCGTTTCCTCGCCGTACAAGCAACCAAATCCAGCACTAGCAGGAGCCGCAGCAGCAGCTGTAATACCGCCACAGCAACAGCAAACACAACGCTCAGCCGGCGATCCGCCGGTGGTAAGTAAAGTGAGTAATGTGAACGCCTTAGAACCGATGTAAATTAATATGTCGCTCTAATCTTTGTTTGTCTAATCCTTAATTTATTTCATATTTCAATTTGCAATACTGTTTATTTATTTACTTTTATGTTATTGAATGCAAATTAAAATTTGGTTTGTTTTTGGTTTCGATGGCGCCCATATAGTCGACGAAAGAGAACGAGATCGACGAAATGGAGGCGTGGCTGGGCAGCTCAGTAAGTAGCAATGCAGCAAAACAGCAATTTCACCAAATTTTTCCACCCACAAGCTTGTTTTTCTTTTATGCACTCATGGCACATACTAGCTTTTAAATTGTTCGATTAATCACATGAATTGCGTTTGCTTTTTGTTAGATTTCTGCAAGTGCAAAATGCATTTACTAATGTTTTGTTTATTCCCAACAGAAAGACATTGATGGCATTGAGGAGTTGACAAGCTCCGAGTTTGACAAATTCCTTGAAGAACGTGCCGCTGCCGCCGAAAATCTTCCAACGATCAATGCATCGAATTCTGCGACAGGATCTGCTACCGAAAACAGCTTACGACAGACACCAAAGAAACCAGGCGCTGATGAGGATCTGCTCGCTCTTTGAGTACGTTCGCGGCAACAGCTCCAATTTGTTTACTCTTTCCGAAATGTTACACACGCCTAACATAATTATACATACAATATATATAAATATATATATTTATAAATAGCGCATACATATAACAATTTATGTAAAATGTTTTAATTTGTTTTCCAATTGGCTTTCGTATTTTTTAAATTCATTATCACTATCATTGTCTTAACAAGAAATTCCAAAAATATTAACTGCAACGACAATTGTAACGTATTCCAAACTGCAATTTTATTTTGCTCTAATTGTAAGCTAAACACACACATACACATTGATTGTAATTGTAATGTATATTATGTTAAAAAAATCTATTTGTTGTTTATTTATACATATACACATATACCTTATAAAGTTAATTTATTAAAAAAAAAAAAAAAAAACAAAAACAAAAACGAAACTAATCACTTCAGTGGAAAATATTTGAGCGTTTGGCATTGAGAGGGAATGTTTACACAAACTCATATATTTAAGCAATATTCCTTATAAAATTCCATTACATTATATGTAAAGGTAAGAGGTAATACTAAAATAAGACAGTTGATATTTTTTGTTGGCCCTTTCTATGGAATGCTAAGCCTACTTTTTGTTTTGGGCTTTTTTTTGTCGCTCCTGCATGAGTTCCCCTTGGGACATTACTTGCGTCTCGCCACAGTAGTCATCGTCATCGTCATCGTCATCATCATCTTCAATTTTGTCAGCCTCCTCATGGGTGCCTGCATTAGCTGCAACATTATTGCGTTGCTCCAGCTTTCGCTCCAGCTCCTCAATCCGCTCCTTTTTACTATTCATTAGTAACACGAATTTCTGGAGCAATTTCTTTTCGCATAATTTGGTGTCCTTAATATACTGATCGTATTGTGTGCGCAGTTCGTTGTACTGCTCACTAGTCTCCCCAGTCCAAGAAGCTTGGGCAGCAGGTGCTCGTTGTGCACTTTCAATGGCTGCATCTAGCATTTGATAGCAATTCGATACCTTCCGCAGAGGCAGATCTATATAAAGCGTCTCATAGCCAGTGCACTTGTAAAGCTTAAAGCAAGGCTGCTGCTCATCCAGTTCGTAGTCGAAGCCAGGCAGACCCATTTGAGTTACAAGAGCGTTTTTACATTCCACAAAGAACTCATCATAGGGTTGCTCCAGTTCTTCCGCAGCGCTCTTAATTTCATCATGCTTCAAAATCGCTCTATAACTGTTATTACTCGTTGTGAGCAATAATTCCAGCTCAGTCACATCCTCCAACCACTTGCTGTGTATATAGATAAAATGCTTCACATCCGCTTGGCTGTGACTTAGCTGGGAGCGCTGTAAGACTTTAACGATGTTATTCGTCATTTTAAATTTAAGCAATTAACAAAAAGTCAAAAACAGCTGTTCACGATGACGATAACGATGACGATTTCTATCGAGCTGTCTGTCATTGACTTAGTAGCCGGGGCATTTTGTACGTTGTCAACACTGAACCATTTAGTATTAAGATTAAACAATTAATTGGTCATACCAGTCAATTACAGTTGTTCACTTTTGTTGCTGCGATCTTGAAGTGCTTTTAGCTGATATTCGATAATATGCTTAATAACATTGTCAATTTCGCCAATTACTGGTGGTTTCGCTATCTAATGGTGAGTAATATATGTACATATTTATTGTGATATTACATTTTAGTTTAGTGATGCTACAGTGGACACATGCACATACAAATGTGTGTATGTCAATATATTTATCTATATTTTTTTTTATCATTCTGCACATTTCTATTTGTCACCAGGTGACTGAGCTCTATGTAGTGGAAAAATGGGAGCGTGTAACAATACGTAAGTAATAATCCAACAATCACAGTGATTCGTCATGGCTCATTTCAAATAATTATTGACCACTGCTTCCTTCCTTCCACTAATTCAATTTTCCACAGACGCCATATTTATGATTCTGTTCTGTGTGTTCTGGTACTTCAACTACTCTGTGCTGCTTTCTTTGACTGGAAATCTATTTAAATACACGCCGATTGGAAACATTTTGCCTGCAGTGCCGCAATCTGCGAGCATCAAAGTCACATAAAAGTATTTGGATGTTAATACACTTTCTCCAATTATTATTAAATAGTGCTTCGATGTCCAATTTAACTATAGAGCGAATACATAATATATACATATGTATATACATATATATATTGTGGAAAACAAGTTCAAACTCATAAACTCGGCGTACGCCGATATTCCTATCTCGCATAAATTCTGCCTAACTGTAAATGTGACCAATCTTTATATCGCATAAGGATCGGAATCGATGTGATTCGCCCTTTAAAGTACCCATTGCACAGTTCTTTTTAGGCTAAATTAGAATTAAGCTTTAGGATTGCACGTTCAAATAAAAGCTGTAAATTTCGAATTCATTGATAATATCATTCCTTACCAAATAGTCCATACGCAATCTACGATAAGCCTTTTATCGAGCCATGGGCAATTAATTAACGTTATCTCAGTTTGTTTTTTTGTTTGTTTGATTTTTGTTTTATATACTTTACTTTTGCACTTCAATGCACTAAATATTACAATTTCATTACAAAAATATATATAGCCTATTTGTTATTAAATGTTTATGTGTATTAAATAGTAATTGTATTTGTAAGATTTTATAGAAAAGTTGTGTGCTGCCTTTTGTTATTCGAGTAGCCGCACATTTAAGATTTACGATTAGAATCAAAATGGTAATCGCATTTCACAGCAGGATTCGGGAAGCTAGATGCTAGGGAAAGGTGTGGGACTGGGTGGGAGAGTTGTTGGGGATATATTGTAGGGGTTTACATACTTTATACTTAAACGCATACAAAAAACTAAATCCTATAACTTTTTGACCATCGTGCCGGGCATTCCAATCAACTTCATCAAAACTTATAATTCTCGATAGCATTAAAACTTAGCAGCTAGTTTTTTTTGTTTGTTTGTTTGTGGGCCAAGTAGCAAACAGCAGTTGAGCTTAGAGCAGACTTGGGGCACCATGTGCTCCTCTGCTCTGCCCTAAACCCGTTCTGTGCCAAAGCCCGCTTAGATAACTAACGCAGTTCCTTACAACTAACTGTACAGACACACACAGAAGCTACTAGTTGCATCCCAAATTCAGATCACGACAGCCAGCGGCATTGCTTGTTAGGAAGGTGTCGACGTGCTATCCAGCAGCACCGACGCCAGCTCCTCGTTGGACTCCACATATACCAGCGTGGGATCCTCGCCAAATTCCAGCCGTCCGTATCGCGCCACCAAGGGAGATTTGCTGCTCACCTGCGGGGCTCGAGGCCATTTGCGTTTGGGTTTCGTGTGCGTCAACATGTGAGACTTCAGATTTGTTGACTGGGCAAAACACTTGGAGCAGCCATCGATGGGGCAATGATACGGCCGATCTCCAGTGTGAATCCGCACATGCGTGCGCAAATTGAAATCCAACGAAAAGCGTTTACCGCAGCCTTCGAACGTGCACTCGAATGGCTTCTCTCCAGTGTGCACCAGTTGATGGCGCTTCAGCTTTGAGCTCTCCACAAAACTCTTGCCACAGACGTTGCACACATGACCACGCGGTCCGTGCGTATGCATATGCTTACGCATGGCCGAGTGATTCCGAAATTCCTTATTACAGCCACGATGGGTGCAACGAAACTTTGGCTCCTCATCCTCATCCGTGGGCGGCATTGTGGCTACAGCGGCAGCACGTTGATGTAATTGCTGTTGCTGTCCATTAGCACAACTACTGCTGCCGCTACCGCTGCCGTTGCTGGTGTTAGTGTTGCTGTTGTTGCTGCTATTTGCTGGCACCAGAGGCGGAGGTTGCGTGGTCAACTGACGTTTCGTCGCTTTATTGTTCACATTATTATTGTTTGTTTTCAGCCGAACATTAGTGCTGCTGTTCTGCAGCACCAGCTTGGGCACTGCCTTTGTTGCTACTGCCATGGCTGGTCCTGCTGCTGTTGGTGCTGTTGGAGGCGTTGTTACGGGCGCTGCCATTAGTTCAACAGGTTGTGGCATATTCTCAATTAATTCAATGCTGCCATAAGCCTCATCCAGTTGATATTGTTCGCTTAGCGATTGGCTGTCCTCCTCATCCTCCTGCTCTTTCACATCATCTCCGTCGGCCATAAATGCATTCACCACCTCCTCGACGTCAGTGACAGCAGCCGCACTGAACGGATCCGGCAATATGACATACTCATTGCCGATGCCGTCGCTGAGCACATCGTGATGCATCATATGCTCGTCAATGATTAGCTTTGGCATTTCGTTAGTTCTATTCGTTGTACTGCTGATTACTTGAGGTGCTGACAGTGCCTGCTGATCGGCTGCATGTTGCTCATCCAAATCCAATTCCTCTTCATCCTCATCCTCCGAATTGAGCGATGACCAGAGCGTCACATTAAACTGATCCTGTGTGATTCGTATAGGCACTTTCGTCTGCTTCCAACGCTTCGCAGTGCCATGACCATTGCCATGGCCATTGATGTTGTGGTTATTATGGCTGCTGATTATGTTATTGCCATGACGTTGCGGTCTACCAAATGGCTTAAAGTCCTGTACGTGGCAGCTATTGGAATCATCTGTGGACTTCATATAGTAGTCATTTTCCAGCTGCTCCTCTTTAATAGTCGCTGCTGTTGATTCAATTGTTGTTAACATTTCTGAGGCTATTTCAAAGGCATTTGTATCGCGTTGCATGATCGGCGTTTCATCCTCTTCGTCTCCGGATGATAAACGCATCTCACCATCCACTTCTTGGCCATCATCTTCATCATCGCTATCCTGCTCCTGTTGCTGCATTATTATTGGCGGCGGCAAAGCGTCTGCTGTGGCCATGCCCATATCTATGCGGTCCACCGAGCAGAACTCGTAGACATCGCCAGATACGAAAAACTCGCCAGTATCTACAACAATGTTGGCATCTTCATCATAATCATCAATGATCTCTTCAATCAAGAAACTTTCGTTGTCTCCGGCACTGCCCATGTGTTCCGTACCATCCAGGTCGGTGCTGTACGGATGCTGATTCTCCACAATTGCCGTCGTCGGAGGCAGAACGTGTGTGAAATACAACGGCGACGTTGTGTTTGTATTGTGATTGTGCACTGAGGAGGAGGAGGATGAGGAGGCAGACATCGACATCGGCAGGGACAACGGCAGCGACAGAGGCAGCGGCAGCGGTACTGCGGCTGCGGCCAGTGATAGATTTTTAACGATTGGCGGTGCTCTGGCTTGAAAATTGCCGCCTTGATGATGACTTGTCATCGTTTTGGCGTGTTTGTTTCGTTCACGTACGCCTCAATGTGTGTGTGTGTGTTTATATGACTGCGCGTGTCTGTATGTGTTTGTGTGTACAAGTTGTTGTATATGTAGGCGCGCGCGCTCGTGTGTATATACGTCTGTAGATTGGGGCCCACTGAAAATTGCCAATTAGAGAGCAAATCATTTTAGAATATCATTAAACATACCCGATGGCCAATTTCGTTGCCAGTCGCTGTTGTTTGCGTTGTTTGTATTCTCTACTGCTGTCCTATTGACATCGGTGCGTGGGGCGCTGCGTCGACGGCAGCAGCGGCAGTGGCAGACGTTGTCTGTCAAATTTGTCGTTTTTTGGTCCGTTCGCGTTGTCACACGGCCCGTTTAATGCACAATCTTGTTGATGTGCCGCTAAATATTTATTAGCAATGTAAATATTTTGAATTTTGCCGGTAAATATGGCGGAATTGTATTTTCCAAAATGGCTCAAGCACTTTCTCTTGCGTACAACTTTTGTTGGTGTTAGTGACAGCGGACCGATAACAATAAAACGCAACCCTGCGCGCGCTTTATGTATACATATGTGTGTGCAACTAGCGTCCAGCCGGGGGCTGTGAACTGTAATTAATTAATGTTCTGCATTTTAAATAACGCGACAAAAAAAAGTGCTGATTATATATGTAGCACAGTCAGCAGCAGTTTTAATTTTGTATATTATTATTTATTATTAATACCACTGACCAGAGAACACATTTTTCGGTGTTGAAAAACTTTGTACTACATGTCTAGTCTATGTGTTCTCTGGTCAGTGTTAATACTTACAGTCGATAACGATAAATACTATAACAGGGTTGCCTCACAAACCGCCTCTTAGACCGGCTATTAAATGAAAACTAAATAGCTACTTTTAGATGCATTTAATTAATAATATACTTATACAAAATGAGATCATATCCACAATTTCTTTAATAGCAATACCTCGGGCAGATAAATACGAGACAATTTCTCATCAATAAAAGTTTCTCGATGCGCTTTTATTGTCTCAGCATCGATCTTAAATTCAGACTTAATAAAATGCACAGCCTTGCGATCGGGAGTTTGGGCTATATTATAATGCCTACATTGTTCAGTTAGCGATTTGGGCTCTAGCAAAGTCAAATGCAACAAGTACGCAGTCGGTACCGTAAGCTGTTTGCTATTGTAGGCATGCGTAAATATTTCCAAAAGGCGTCTGAGAGAAAACATAGAAATAAAATCAATAATAATATATACATACATGAGTATACATACATATGTAAAGTATTAATTACTAATTTACCTTCGTATTGTCTGTAGCTTTGCTCCAGCCACCGCACAAATGATATGCGGCAATTTCGGCAGACCTTTAATGACACGATAAAGATTTCCTTGATGATAGTTCAGGCAGATGTTAAACGCCAACTTAAAGATTTCGTTCTCTCGTACTTGGACGGGCAGCATTAACCCACGAACTAGAGCTTCTGGTGTACCCAAATTGAAAATTTGATACAGTGCCTCAATAAAGTAACGTCGCTCTGCCTCACGTATGGTTGGCTTCTTCTCATTCGCACTCTGTGCCTCCTCATCCAACTCATCGTAACAGCAGAGTACAACATTTAGGCATTCCTGCAAATGCTGATTGCAGATTTTCGGATCAAATTTATCGATTGGGTCCTCACACAGGCGATAGCGGCTGTAAGCCATAAACAAGATCATCGGTTCAATAAGACGAATGGTCTGTCGGGGATTGTACTGCTGTATGACTATTTCACGCCGCACACTTCGCAACCGATCGAATATAAAATCATAGACGAAATGATAGGGCTTACGTTCATCCATAAATATGCTAAAAGATTTTAAATGAATTCCAACATTAAGCAAATAACAAGGATTCTTACTCTTTAAGCAGATATTCAACCGTTCTCGTTAGGCAAAGCTCAGTGCGCATATCCTTGGCTTTTGGCACCTTTGCATCGGCAGCGGAACGCGTAAACTCCTTGACCAAAACGCCGGGTATATGTTTTTGACCATCTTTGTATTCAAAGTAGTTCAGCAATTTCTTTTGTATGCGCCTTTAAAGAATAACTATATTCAAGATTAAACACCAACTTC